CACCCAAAAGCCCCCTTCGTTAGTTCTTTGGCAATTCCCCTTCCCTGACTCCCCAGGGTGGGGGCTAGAGTAAGATGAGTATAGTAAAGGTTTGGCCACTCTCCTTCATTGACACACTATACCCCAGTGACTCTGCGCTGCGTTCTTCATGCTGGGTTGTCTTGGCTATTTTCTCAGCCTAGAAGCTTCCTCTACCATCTCCTAGAGAACTTCTACGCACCCTTAGAACTGCTCAAAGGGACCATTACTTTTGTGAACTCTTTTTTACCTTATCCTGTCTCTTCCAGAATTATCCCCCCTCCCCTTGTTCCATAGTGCACTGTATTACATGTTCACATTCTTTTGTAGCTGCCTCCCTGAGTAGGCTGTGAACTCCTCGTGGTCAGGGCCGAGGTTTGCTCATTTTTGTGTCCTTCAGGTCTAGCCCAGTATCCTGCTTGGAGCAGGTCAGCAGGTAGCCAATAAATGCTTGTTACCTAAAACCGTCTGCAGAGCTGATGGTGTCCCATGAAATGGGTAGGGATGCAAGTCCCAGAGGCACTGCCTAAGTTTGTGGGAGGCCCTGGAGTGGCGGGAGGGCACAGGCAGCCATGCCGAACTTTTCATTGTTATACCACTGTTATACGTCATCAAGAACACTCTTCTCAGACTCCGCCCAGCTGTGATGTAACTCTGCCACCCTCCTCCCCATCACACCCTAGTGGTTCCAGACTCCGCCCAGCTGTGATGTAACTCTGCCACCCTCCTCCCCATCACACCCTAGTGGTACCAGACTCCGCCCAGCTGTGATGTAACTCTGCCACCCTCCTCCCCATGGCTGCCCCGGTGGAGGAGGAGGGTGAGACCAGTTCTTCCAGAATTTCAGAGCCTTGGGTAGGCTCATTCACGGTGAAAGGGGCAGAGGGAACCCTCCTGACTTCAATAAGGAGAAACTGGGGAGTGTCTGAGTGGAACCCCCTTGTCTCATCTCACTTCCTCCGCCCACTCCAACCATCAGGCCTGGGAAGCAGAAGCAAGCGGCCCTGTCTTGTTGTGCTGTGGGAATAAGACTCGGGATTGTTTCTATTTCCCATTCTCGTCACCATTTCTGTCCTTAGGAGCCAGAGGAGAAGGGGGCCTTCTTCAGGCTGGCCTTGAACTCACACAGATCTGCCTGCTGGGATCAGAGGTGTGAGGGCGAAGGGGATCTTGTAGAAAGAGGGAAGGAACAGGGGCTTCAGCCAAGGTCATGCAGGCAACATGAAGACTTTGACTTCCCTTTCCTAGACTCATGGCAATGGCAGGAAATGGTGCCATTTCGACATTGTCCCAGTCTGAGCTGCAGGTGTGACTGCTTTGGCCCTGTCTCCCTCCCTGCCTGGCCCTAGCCTTGGCCTGCCCATTCCTGCCTGGATCTATTAGGGAGGCTGCAGTCATGTGTCTGTCCCTGCCACGTGTGTCCCCACTCCCCAGCTCCAGCTCCAGGTTCCCTATCTGCGTTGCCATCCTGAGGTCTGTCCTTACCTTGTCTCTTGTCTGAAGACCACTTCTAGGAGGTGGGATCAGAGTGTTAGAGGGGGAAAAGGGTTCACTTCATTTCCTTATCAGCCTGAGCAGGTGAAGTGACTTGCCCTGGATTGTTAATTCTCACGCAGCTGCCTGGAACCCGGCCCTCCTCACTGATTCACCTGGCCTCTCTGTAAGGTGGGGAACTGAATGGCAGGACTGCGGCCAGGGCCCACGTCCCCGGGACTTAGAGCCCAGTGCCCTTTGGAATCAGTGTATAACATGCATGTGTGAGGCGTGCCGCATGTCATGGGGGATGGGGTGGTGGTGTCTGAGGCCCTTTCTCCCATCCTTTGGTCTGCAGTCCCACCCACCAGCTCTAGCCCCCTCATCTGCCCACTGTCATGCCTGCCTGCCTTCCCTCCTTCCTTTTCTCTTAAAAATGTAGGGCGGTTTTCTTTTTTAAATTCATGTGTACGATTTTTTTGCGTAAATGTATGAATGTGCACAGCAAGCATGCCTGGTGCCCACAGAGGTCAGAAGAGGATTCCAGACCCCCTGGAACTGGAGTTATGGATGGTTGTGAGCCACTTTGTGGGTTCTGGGAACCAAATCTGGATCCTCTGCAAGAGCAACAATTTCTCTTAACCACCGAGCCATCTCTTCAGTTCCTTCTCTGTTATTTATTTAATTTTAAGATTTACTGGTTTTGGCCAGGCGGTGGTGGCACATGCCTTTAGATCCCAGCACTTGGAGGCAGAGGCAGGTGGATGTCTGTGAGTTTGAGGCCAACCTGATCTACAGAGCTAGTTCCAGGACAGCCAGGGCTACACAGAGAAAACACACATATACTCAAAAAGATTTGCTGTTTTTATTTTATGTTTATAGCTTTTTGCCTGCATGTATTCTGTGTACCTCATGCGTAACTGAGGCCAGGAGAGGGTGCCCGATCCCTTCGAATAGTTATAAGCTGCTGTATGGGTGCTGGGAACCCAACCCTGAACCTTTGCAAGAGCAGCAAGTGCTTTTAACTGCTGTCTCTCCAGCTCCAACCATCATCTTTTCTATTCCTGTGGCCATATTCTCTGTCTGTCTGTCTGTCTGAGACAAGATTTCTCTGTGGAACAGCTTTAGCTGTCCTGGAACTTGCTCTGTAGACCAGGTTGGCATCGAACTCACACAGAGAGCCACCTGTCTCTGCCTTCCAAGTTCTGGGATTATAGGCATGTGACACTACGCCTGGCTTTGGGGTCATATTCTTGGCTTGTCACACCCTCAGGGTCACCGTCCTTACTCTTGTCTCCGGAACTGAGCTGTATGGAGCGCTTTAGTGCTGCATTGTCTCAAAGCTTCAAACACCCGAGAAAAATCAGCATGTATCCTGAGCCATGAAGGAAATTCCCCCTTTGTGCTGGGCTCTGAGTAATAATGGCTTTGGCAGTGCTGCACAGACAATTAAAAATCCCTTGTAATGTTAAGCATGGGACCTTGAAGTTGTTATTCATTATAAATACAAATTATTGATATTGTATTATACTTATCATGAGACAAACACTTGCTAATACTCCAAATGAATCTAACCACCAAACCAGCCCTGGGAGATATGGCAGTGTGCTTCCTGTCTGTTTTAGTCTGTGTGTGGTGTGGTGTGTGCCCATGTTCACTGAGGATGGATTTAGGGCCTTGCTTATGCTGGGCAAGCACTCTACCTCTGAATTATACCTTGAAGCACCCTACCCCCTCCCCGCCCCCATTTATTTGTTTCTTCTGGCTTGTTCACATTGAAAACTGGCTGGTCAGAAGAGGAAGTGGGTCTCCAGCAGGGGGGACGCCTCCCACAGTTCTTCTGGGCTTTGCCATGGGGATTACAGAGGAGAGGAAACATCACGGGGGGGGGGGGGGGGGGGACTGCTGGAGGTTGGAGGTCACCGGTGGCTCACAGACAGGGAGAAGGGCCAGGAGCTCTGGTTTCAAGTCCCCAAGCCCTGGGCCTCATTCCTGTCTCATCATCTCAGCTGCCGAAGGACCTCAGGCTGGAGTGGCATACACAAAGAAGGTCACTAAGTCTCCAGGGCACTTGAGTGCAGTGTCCCAGTGCTGTGGGAGAAGGCCTGCACAAATGGGGATGGTAATGGGAAGGTGCGGTCTCACTTGAAGTGGGAGAGGACAGTGTGGCCTTGTAATGGGAACCAGGCATCTGGTCCTCTGTGTTCTGCCTCCCAGAATGCAGTGTCTTGAGGCTTTTTCCTGATCCCAGTGCTGCACGATGTGGTACACTACCTCTGAGTCGGTCCTAATGGATGCATCAGAATGTCTAGAGCTGGGTTGGTGGTGCACATCTGTGATCTCATCGTGTAGGAGGCAAGAGCATCAGGAGTACAAGGCCAGCCTCAGCTACATAGTGAGTTTGAGGCCAGCCTGAGCTAAATGAAACCTTATTTCAACCAAGACAAAGTAGCAGGTTTGGAAAAAGGGCCCTGGGAACTCTTTACAACTGAAAGCATCTTCATAGAGATGGTCTACTGAATCTTCACAACACCTCTTTCCCTACATGAGGGCAGGTACTTTCAATCATTTATAACTGGGGAGTCAACCAAAGCTTAGGAGGGGGGGCTGTCACTCACACACACTCACACACAGACACACACACACTCTCCACACACACCAGACACACTCACTCTCACACACAATCATACACACACACATACAGACACACACATACACACTCATACACACACACTCATACACATATACACTCACACTCACACACACACCAGACTCACACACACACTCACACAATACGCACACACCACACACACTCACACACACTCACACACACACCAGACTCACACAATACGCACACACCACACACACATACTCACACTCCAGACACACACACACACACACACACACACACACACACACACACACACAGTGTTGGGGGCAGAGCCATGCTGGGCAGCTGGGGAACCTGTCTGCAAGAGTCAGTGGGAGGGGCTTAGGGTCAGGCACCAGGCAGGGTAGAAAACTAGATTTGGTTTTCTTCCCGGTTTGGGCTGGATGTGTAACGTCCAAAAAAAGTGAGATTAGAGGGGACCTGGAGTGAAGGGAGGGCCGCTGAGGGACGCAGAGTGCTCGCCTTGTACCAGATACTGGCACCCCCTCCGCCAGTTAACTCCTGCCTGCCATCCCATGAGACAGCTGTCTTCATTCTGAGACCTTGAGAACAGCCTGCGTGCGCGCGCGCGCGTGTGTGTGTGTGTGTGTGTGTGTGTGTGTGTGTGTGTGTGTGTTAGTCTACAGGTCTAAGCTCCCCCACCTAAAAAGCAGAGGAGACAACAGGAATTCTGAGAATCTGACTCCACACTCTAGCTCCCCCCCCCCCCCCCCGCGCTTGGTGTTAAGTGCGTTTGGGGCGCTGGGCTGTGGGACTCAAAACTACAAAGCGTTAAAAGAACCTTGGCCCTCGCCTCTCCTCCTGGTTCCCTCCTCCCTCGCCTCTCCCCAGGCTCTTCCGGTCCCGCTCTTGCAACACCACCCCGCCACTCTCCCCACCCCTCCTACCTCCTCTCTTCTCGCAGCTTTAATTTTCTCCGAGTTTTCCGAACTCTGGCTCCTGGTCGGGTCTACTGGGTTCGAGGTCCTGGAGGGCCGTACCCTGATCTCTATCTACCCTCGACTTTCAGCTACTCCAAACCGAGGCCCGGGCTGCCATCGCCCGGGCCACCTGCTCCGATCGGCTTACTTCATTCACCAGCGTTGCCAACTGCTGCACTGTCCCCAGCCCCAATGGGGGAGTGAGAGGCCACTGCCGGCCGGACATGGGTCTCCCCACCGTGCCTGGCCTGCTGCTGTCACTGGTGAGACGGGAGGCAGAAGGGGAGGGTGGGCTGCTGGCGAGGCAGCGGCCTGGCAGGGTGGCACGTTCTAGGTAGGGGTAGGAATGGGGGTAGGGGTGCGTCTCTACTTCAACTTGTCTTAGGCTTTCTGTGTCTCGCCTGGGGCTGCTCTGAGAGGCGGAAGGGAGAAATCTGAGAGGGAGAAAGTTACCACAAGCCAAGCCCCGAAACCCAGGGCCGGACAGCCAAGGTGGCTGGCTGGTTTGGTCCTGGAGTGTTGGGCTTTGGGGAGGCCAGCTGCCAGGCCGATGGAGTTAGGCGGAGCAGCCCCGTTTCTCTGGCAGAAGTTGAACAGTGTTGGTCAGGATGTTGGAAGATTGAGTCGAAGAAAGGAATCAGTTGGTGGGACAGGTTTGGGATACCGTGCTTGGGAGTGAACCAGGAAACTGGATAAAGCTGGGTAGCCGGGCCCAGCCTTCTTCCCCGAGTCAGCCTTTGCCCTTCTGCATCCAGGTCTGCTTCCAGGCAAGACGTCTCCCTCCATTGGCCTAACCCTCACTAGGAAGCTAAGATCTCCTTTACCTAGGCAGTGTAGCCTCCGGCCCCCTCCCCACAGACCTAAAAGAAAAATCTCACGGTTTCTAATTCCATGTTCAGATTTGGGGAAGTTGGTAGCAGCTTGTTTTCGTCACTGGAAAAATGTCCTTCTCTCCGGCTTTGGCCTGTTTTCGTTTTCATGTTGCCTTGGTCTCCCTCTATGTGCTCATACCATTCTCTGCAGATGTCAGAGCCCCGGCTCCCTGGCTGGCTGGCCTCTGCCTTCTTCACCACGCCTCTCCTCTCCCCGTCCTTGCTCCCCATCAGTCTCCAGAGCCTCCTCTTGGAGCTCCCCTCTGTCCATCCCCTTCCCTCTTCCTCTTGTTCCCGTCTACACCACTGTTTCCAGAACTCTGGGCCCCCTTCTTTTCATCTCCCCCCTCCTGCCTCCCCGTCTCAGCTCATGACCCTTGTCACGACTGTCCCTTCTGGGTCTGCGCCCATCATCCAGCTGCCCATCCACTTAAGGCTCCGGACAGCACCCTGACCTGCATGAACTTGGCCATGTCATGTGGCTCTCTAGTTCCAGAATGGCTATAACCCGTCACTGCCTCACAGCTGTTATTTTAAGCTGGATGCATGTTAAATATTTGCTCAATTTGTTAGTCTCTTACTCTGTGCTAGGCCCTATTTCAGGAGCTAGGATTGGAGGTGAATGAGTCGCTGAGGTCAAGTTGGTAATTCTGTAGAAGAGTACTCGACAAATAGAAGGGACTCGGTGAAGGCTTAGTGTCTATTTTCTCATTGCTAGCAATACTAGTAGTCTTTACTCAATGGCTGCCAGCGTTTGGTAAAGTAAAAATAGCCTAGATAGGTAGAGGAGAGGTCCTGACCCAGTTGTGGAGGCCCAGGTGGCGATGGGGCACTGTGACAAGGGACAACATGTGGCCAGTAAGGTCTATATAGGGCTGTCCACTGCCTGGTTCGAACACAGTACCTATGAGACGCATGACTGATGAGGAGGCGCTGGAGTCAGGAGGGAACAATGTGTATGGCAGGGGTGTGGCAAGGCCAACAAGATTTGGTTAAGTCTCAAGACGTTTAAATATAGGAGTCAAAGTGATTTTAAACAGTCTGGAGGAAGAGACATGCTAAGGCCGTGTGATGTAGTGTCCTGGGGGCAGAGCTGGGGGAGGGGGTTCGGCCACAGGCCAACTGTGTGTTCTTGCTTAATGGCCTTTGCCTGTCTGCTGGGCTGAGCTTGCCTGCCCAGATCTTTGGCTCACTGAGAGCTCCTGAGAGTGTGAGCTATGTCCCACCCATCTTGGCATCTCCAGTACCCATGAGGATCTTGGAATGGAGACCTTGACACTTGACTAATGGTGGAATGAATTAAGAAACAAGAGATTGGTCAGATGGGGGGTGGGGAGGAGGTATGGTGCATAGAGGAGAGGACTTGGAACCGGCGGCATCTGAAGCCAGAAAGGCGGGAGAGCGGAGGAGTTGGGAGACTGGGTGAGGGAATGGAGCTGAACACCTCATCTGGGGATAGGATGGCCAAGGCAAGGAATGTGACAGAGTGAGAATGGGCACTCTAAGTGCTCTCAAGTGCGTGAGCCAGTCATAAAGGCTAGTGCCTGTCATTCTAGAATGGGAGATGGAGGCAGGAGATCAGTTCAGGGCCGGTTTTGGCTATATAGAGAGCTTGAGGCCTCAGAGAGAAGTGCCAATAGGGACATGTGCATGAACGCAACCTGGACTATATGAGACCATGTCATAGAAAACGAAACAAAAACAAATAAAAACAAAACAAAACAAAAAAGAAAAAGAAAAAAGAAGTGTGTGTAAGGACCCAGTGGGGTCTGCTTCTTTTCCTCCTTCTCCTTACTTCTCCCTCCCTCCTTCCCTCCCTCCTTCCCTCCTTCCCTCCCTTCTTCCCTCCTTCTCTCCCTCCTTTCCTCCTTTCTTCTTTCCATCCTTCCCTCCCTCCTTCCTCTCTCCCTCCTTCCTTCCCTCCTTCCCTCCCTCTCTCCTTCCTTCCCTCCTTCCCTCTCCCTCCTTCCTTCCCTCCTTCCCTCCCTCTCTCCTTCTCTCCCTCCTTTCCTCCTTTCTTCTTTCCCTCCTTCCCTCCCTCCTTCCTCTCTCCCTCCTTCCTTCCCTCCTTCCCTCCCTCTCTCCTTCCTTCCCTCCTTCCCTCTCCCTCCTTCCTTCCCTCCTTCCCTCCCTCTCTCCTTCCTTCCCTCCTCTCTTCCTCCCCCTGCTATTCTCCATGCATCCATTCTGTCCAGACCGTGTTCCAAATACAAGTGAGTTATCTCTGACATGTGTGCCCAGGGAAGGATTTATTCATGGAAATCATGTTTGAAGCCAGGCCCTGCAGGTGCAGAAGAAGCTTCACACCCCGGTGGTAACAAGTTGGAGCCTGAATGCAGATAAGAAAATATGTAGGTAGCTTCAGCCCCAGCCGAGGTTTGAGGCAGCTGAATCCCTGAGCCAGAAGGTCGATGCCAGCCTGGACAGCATAGTGAGACCCTGAGATCCCGCTGTGGAGAAGAAAAAGGAAGGCAGTTGTGATCACGAATGGCCTGTGTGTGGGGCAACCAGAGGGCACAGGAGGGGTGGAGAGGTTACAGGAGAAGGGCCTGACGGATGACTGTGAGGGCTTTGGCAGTTTTCAGCCATGGTACCGAGAAGTTGGTAGCGTGCCACGTGTCTAGGCAAAGAGACTGGTGAGTTCTGTTGGGGGCAGTTAAGTAGGTCAGCGACTGGCCAGGTGGAAGTGTGGCTGGCTGAACTGAGTGGGACAGCGTGCTCAGCCTTGCTTCTGGCTGAGTCCCTCTGCGCGGGCTTGTTAGCTGGGCTCAGGAAGGAGCACAAGGCGCAAGCGTCAGTAGGGACATGTGCGCGCGTATATGGGTGTGGAAGCGAGGGCACTGTTTAGGAAACATCTCTCAGAGACAAGTGTGTCTCTGTGGCAGGAAGACCCTGCTTCCCTACATCCTTGAAGGCATCACTGGCTCCATCTGGGATGGACGGCACCTCAATCTGTCCCTCTAGTTCTGCAGGCCTGGACCTGGGCGATGTGACCGGGACATTCTCTGATCTCTTAGCTCATAGGGTTTGTGGTCTGTTTGGGGAGATCATATCTACTTGTTTGAAATAACTAGTTCCTGATAAGATCCAGAGTAGATATGGGCAGTTCATGTTGTTCAGTATGAACAGGTGACTGGATAGCCAAAGAAAGAGCTTGGGTGAGGAAAGATGAGTCATTAGTAGGGGGCTTCGTGGGTGGGTGGAAGGTAGGACTGTGACAGAGCTCTCAGAGGAGGCCGCACCAATGAATTCTTCACCCCTAAGGTCTTGACATTAAATGGAACAAACACATTTTAACGTAATGAACACATTTAATGCGGGGGACGGGCCTAGCAAGCGGGTCCCTGAAAGGTGGCTGGGTCAAGTTTGACCACAGGGTCCATCTCAGCTTTTCTGCCCTATTCGGCAGCCCCAGCACAGGAAGTCACACCTTAAGGCCTCCCAGGCGGAAGCTGAGGGGTATTTAGAGAGATTGTACCACTCTTAAGCATCTCTCTACAGGCAACCCAGCTTCCTGCTCCTCCTCTGCTCCAGGCAAAGGCATTTGGGTTTGGGTCAGGACTTTGGACTTGGCTCCCCTATTCTGTGGTTTGCCTCACAATGCAACTGCTAATAGGACTAGTGGGTGCTAACACATGGTGCCTATTGAGAGAATCCCTGGACCACGTGGGATACGGTAATGGTCCAGGGCCCCTTCCGTCTCCATCTCTCTTGTTTGTTTTTGTTCTTCGAGACGGTTTCTGCAGCCCCAGCGGTCATGGAACTCTGTAGCTGTATAGACCACACTGGCTTCCGAGCGCTGGGATTAAGGCCCGACTCTCTCCATCTCTCCTAGCCTTAAGAGGGCTGTGTTTTTTCCTCTGTAGCTGCTGGGTTATGAAGCCTTAGAGCTAACCCTGTCTCTTAAGGATTGTCTTGGGAGCCCTCACACCCAATGCAACTGGGCTGAAGCAGGCAGCCTGTGGGAACGTGGTGGATGAGGTTGGGAAGGCAGCCTGGTTTTGTTTCTTGCTGGCACTGGAGATTGTCAGCAGTCTAGCGGGAAAGCTCGGAGAGCCAGGGAGCAGGGATCCTGGGACAGGGTTTATCTACTTTAGACTTGTTTAACTTTGAGGAGGAATCAGGGCAGGTCCCAATCTAAAGGAAGGATGCTGGGGGGGGTGTCCTCTGGGAGGAGCCTACTGACCTGATGGGGGAAGCCAGGGGTCAGGAAGACTTCCCTTTGGGATGAAATGGAAGAGGGAGGCATTTCCCCGAAATCTGTGGGCCCAGTGGGACAGGGGTCCATTGCCTGGCTCTTTTTAAGGGGAAAGATTCAAAGGCCCTGAGTTGGGGGTGGGAAAGATAGACTCCTCACCATGAAGGGAGGAGATAGGGTTCTACTTGCTGGCTGGCCTTTTCTTTCTGCTGACTCACAGCCCTTGAAGAGCTGAGGAAGCTTCAGTTCCCTGTCCACTCTCCTAGCTTCCCTCCCTCCCTGGCTTGAGTCATGGGGGGGCGGAGTTGATGGGAAAAGGTTTCCCTTTCCCGGATTTCACTTAACCCCCAGAGTTCTGGAAAAGGGGGAGACACGTGACCAGAGAAACCGGGCTCCTCTGGATCCAGGCTCATCCGTCACTGGCAGAGACACTCCCACCAAGGCTGTTCTTGGCCTGGAGCCCACCCCTCTACCTCTTCCTGCCACTGCCTTTGCCTGTTGGCTTTGCTTCAAGTTCTCTGATGGGCTTGGAAGTGCCATTGACCTTAGGTGCTCCAAACATTTCTTCTTCGGGGAAAGGAACCACACTTTCATGATTGGGAAGTTCTTATCCTAACTAACCCTTCCTGTCACTCTGGAAGCCTCTGCACTGTGTGTGTGTGTGTGTGTGTGTGTGTGTGCGTGCGTGCGCGCGCGCCCGTGCGTGGGGGGGGTGCACCCCTCCCTGAGAGATTGCCAGTGTGTGGTGTGCTTCTATGTGTGGCTTCTCAGGTCAATCTCAGGCTTGAGGCCCAGGCTTCCTAACCTGTGCAGCAGCTGCTGCTGCAAGATTCTTCGAGTAATAGCAGCTGGCAGCTTGCACCTCCTTCCAAAAGAGCAGTGGAGGCTGCTGTGAGTCTGGACAGCGGCTGTGGCTAGCTCTTCTCTCCTGAATATGATCTGATTGGTCCATTGCTCCTGCATCTGTGACTTGCCTTGATGACATCCTCTGCCTTTGCATGAAGTGGCTCGTAGCAGGGGTGGGGTGGGAGGGAAGAATGAAGGTTGAGGGAAACCCGAAACTGGGGGAGATCAAAGAGCAAGGTCTAAATTGACTCTAAGATGACTTCTGGCTTTGCTTTCTCCACACTGAAGTTATTTACATACAGGAAAGCCACTTAGCTGCTGTGAGCTTTGCTAAGATTATTAAGCCAGCCTTCTAGAATGCCCTGCTTGGCCACAGGCTTTGGGGCTCCTGGCATATCCCGAGCTCCTGATTTGCTGGTCTCCTTGAGCCAGATCATCAGCCTCTGGCCAACTCTAATACATGATCCACTTGCCTTCGCTCGTGCCTAACCTTCTCGCCTGCCTTCCCTCCCCGTTTGTCCTTGCCAACCTGAGCTGTAGTGTGAATTTAGCTGTAGAAGGCTTGGACTGTGAGGGCAGGTTGCTGAGCAAGACTTGTACAGCAAGAGATATATAAATTCTTGGCTGTGTGGCTCAGGGCATGTGTGAGGTTCTTGGTTTCATTCCTAACACCCCCCCCCACCATGAATGCACCAGTCATGTACACACGTGGTCATGCACAGAGCTCTTCCCTTTGTTTCTTTCCACTCCCGTGAATGGTGCTTATGAGAATGTGTCCCCATCTGATTTTGTGTATGTGTGCACACAAGTGTGGGTTCATATTCCAGTGTGCACGGAGGTTAGAGGTCAACCTCAGGTGTTTTCTCAGATATCATTCACCTTGTGTTTTGAGACAGGATCTCTCACTGGGAATTGTGGGGGGGGGGAGCTCACTGATTTACTAGGCTGGGCTGGCCAGAGAGCTTCAGGGGTCTGCTTGTGTCCTCTCAGCCCATGCTACTGCGCCTGGCTTTACGTAGGTGATGGGGATGATCTCAGCTCCTCGTGTTTGCACAACAGACACTTTCCGGAACCATCTCCATGGCAGCCCTCCCTACAACTTGATCCCCCCTTCCCCTAGTACTTTTTATTAGTATAATGAAATCCAGAAAGGTTTGCAGATCTTAATGGCTCACCTCTGAAGTGTCCATAACCCGGCACACCGAAAACCAGGATATAGAAATGGCAAATGAGCTCCAGGGCTGTCTGTTGGGAGACAGATGGGCTATCATTGAAACAGCCTGCTAATTCTGGGTAGACTTCCCTGGTAGGGCAGGGGTTGCCTTGGAGGTTCTGTGTGAGATCCCCGAGTCCCACCTCTATCTAGCCCCGAAAACAATACAAACATTCTTCCAGCAGCTTTCCTGTGATCAGCATTGTGAGCTGTTTCAGGGAACTGATCAGTGTTGTGGGGACAGGGGCTGACACCTGATTGCCCAGGGTTATGGAAACAAATGCTAGCATATGGAGCAACCAGAGAGCAAGAAAATACTAGACTGCGGCGTACGGGAGAATGTTCCTCAGGAAGGACAGGAACCATGGGGGAGAGGTCAATTTGCTGCCTCTGTGGTCCCACTCTGATGGCGTTTTCTCCTTCTGATTCTTCCCCCAGGTGCTCCTGGCTCTTCTGGTGGGGATACACCCCTCAGGGGTCACTGGGCTGGTCCCTTCCCTTGGGGAAAGGGAGAAGAGGGATAATTTGTGTCCCCAGGGAAAGTACGCCCACCCTCTGAATAACTCCATCTGTTGTATCAAGTGCCACAAAGGTAGGGGAGTGAGAGCAGCCTTCTCCAGTCTTCCTTTGCTGGCTTCTGGTGTTCCCGAACTCTGGTCGCTGGGAGTCAGTCCCCTTACTTGGCCGCCTTCCCGGGCTTGGGTTTTATCCTTTTACTCCCCATTGCAGCCTAACCCTGGCCCCACTCACAGGAACCTACTTGGCGAATGACTGTCCAGACCAAGGGAAGGAAACAGACTGCAGGGTGTGTGATAAAGGCACCTTTACTGCTTCCCAGAACCACGTCAGACAATGCCTCAGTTGCAAGACATGTCGGAAAGGCAAGCCTTAGGAGTGGGGGAGGGCACAAGGGGGGGGGTGTGCCTGGTCTGAGAAGGCTTGTGAACATGTATGTGTATACGTGGGCGTTTGCCTGGGGGGGTGGGGAGGTGGGGTGCTCAGGATTCAAATCTGCCTGTGGGTATGGTGGGAGCATGTGTGTTTATGTCACAAAGACAGACAAGCATGTGCTGAAGAGGGGAAGTCAGGGTTTGTATGGGGAAAGGGATGTGAGACTCATGGATTATTTCCTTCCCTCTTCAGAAATGTCCCAGGTGGAGATTTCTCCTTGCAGAGTGGACAGGGACACTGTGTGTGGCTGTAGGGAGAACCAATTCCAGCAATACTTCGGTGACAATCACTTCCGATGCGTGGACTGCAGCCCTTGCATCAATGGCACCGTGAAGATCCCCTGTGAGCACCACTCACCCAAGTCCAGGCCCTTTCCCTTCCTCAGGAGTACCCTGCCTCTCAGGCAGAAGGTTGCCACTTTTGCCCTGCCCCCCCCACTCCCCGTGACGGAGCATCTTCTCTGCTCCCCCTTGTCTGGTCTGTGGGTCTGAGCTCCTGTGTAGTGCCTGCGTCTTGCCCTTCTTCCTCCCGCTGGTCTTCAGGCTACAGGTGCACTTTCTTAGTCTTTTTGTCTTCTCTCAGGTCAACAGAGTCAGGACACCGTGTGTAACTGCCATGCAGGATTCTTCCAAAGTGGAAGTGAGTGTGTCTCTTGCAGTAGGTGAGTATCTGCCAACTGGTTGGGGAGCTGGGGTGGATGAGCGGCTGTGGCTGGATTAAGGGAAACATCCTGTAACTGGAAAGAGAAAAATAGCTCTTTCTCTTTCTCTGGTACATTAGTGGGTAGACAATATGGCTTAGCAGTAAAGTGCTTGCAGCAAAAGGCAGACAACCTGAGTTCAATCTCTGGAACCCATGTGAAGGCGAAAGGAGAGAATATCAATTCCACAGAGCTGTCCTCTGACCTCCACACAAGTGCCATAGCATACATGCCTCTCCAGGGCTAGGCAGTTAGACGCGAGCACCCCTGTGTTCTTTACTGCATGGTTTGGTGCTTCTTACTATTGATGACACCTTGGGTTTGATGCTCATGTCACTCCCCTACGGTGATTCCGTTCCAGCCTGCTGGGCAGACTTCCTCATTCCTGTGACCTCACTTGGGCTGCTCTTACACATTTGCTTCCAGAGAAGTCACCCTGAGAGTCTCATAGTTTAACAGACCTAGGGTTAAATCCCAACCTACCCATTTCCTGGCTGTGCAACCGTGGGCAAGTTATTACATCTCCACACCTTGTGTTTCTTAACCTTTAGAGTAAGGAGGGCTGGGGGTGGAAGTGTGGTTCAGTGGTAGAGCATTAACTAGCTTAGCATATTCCAGACTCTGAGTTGGATCCCAGGATCATAAAACCCCCAAACAGAGAACTAGACCACCGACCTATCAAACTGTCCGAACCAAAGCTATTCACTTTTCCACTCAGTTCATCTCAGAGTTTGTGTACCCAATCCCATGTTTTCTGCCCTGACCTGGTGAGGTAGACAAACAAGCCTTTGTCTGTTTCAGACTTCCCGTTCTCACATTCCTCTGCCCAGCTCTCCTGTGTAGTTTTCCCACTGCCCTCTGCCCTGTGACAGCTCTCAATGGCGCGCTCTCCGGCTGCCCCAACACAGATAGACATTCTAAAACCGCTCACACCTGCGTGACCTGTCATTTCCCAAGTTAAGTGCTGTAAGCAGCTGGTGTCATCAGAGACAAACCCTTCAGCTTCACGTATGAGTCATCTTTCTGGGCCTAATCAGTTTGGAGCAAAGAAAGGTTTCATTTATCATGGCTTCCTTCGGCTCCCAGTGTTCAGCCTTGATGCTTTGGAGCCTTGGCTGAGGTCCAGCATAGTGATCAGGGCACACTGTGGGGCAAGGCTGCTCGCTTTGTAGCAGCTGACAGGCAGAAAGGGTGTGGAGTGGGTCAAAGGCAAGCAGCCAGTCTTCATGTCTCAATATACTGGGGATCAAACCTTCGGCACATACTCCAGGTCCAAACCATAGGTCTCTGTGCTACTGTCCCACCAGCAAACACACGACAAACTCAGGTCACTGACAGCTGCCACCTACTAAGTACTCACCATTCAGGGATGTTGTACCCACCGAGAGACCCCCAAAGCTTCAAGGAGCCAGCCATGCCCAAATGCAAACACAAGAAGGTGTTTATTTCCAAAATCCAGCTAACTGGGCTTTACACTGTCGGGAGAGTTAAAGCCCCGAACCACAAATGCAAGGCTTTTTTTTTTTTTTTTTTTTTTTTTTAAGTGCAAAGAACAGGAAGGGGGTCGTGAGACCCCTGATCTCATGTCACAAGGTTTCCATGGTTACAGAGATTTCTTAGCCACAATGTAACAAAGTTTCCATTCAAGGTAATTTCAAGATAAAGGGTATTTAGCAAAGGCGCCTTAACTGTTGTCTGCTTAGGAGGGTTGATTAACACATCCTGGGGTCTGGGAGAGGTTATCTAGTTCCCTATTTCTTTAAGGACATCCTGGGGTCTGGGGGATTTACAGCCATCAGGTCAAAGAGGCTACCTGGTTCCCAGTTTTCTTAAGAGACAATGGGGTGGGGAGTGATGTTTACACAATTGGTGATGAGCTCAGGCTCCCCTTTTCCTGTGGAACTGTCCATATGACTTCCAGTCACATAGCCTAGAGTCAGGGGTCCCTTGCTTAGTTGGGGTCTTTTTATTTTTCTCATTATAAGCGATAAGTACTTGACCCTTAACCCCAAGGAGAGATGGTATGATCTCCATGTCTCAAATGGCTTGTTTGTATCTTGTCATTAGTCAATGACTGGAATGGAATTTATACTCTGACCAGAATTGTCTTTTCAATTTTTTTTTTTTAATATTGACTGTGGAATCCAGGCTCTTGAATGATGATGTTCAAATGTTCTACCATGGAACACTCACAGAGACCTGTCTGCTTTAGTATCCTGAGTGCTGAGATGTGCTATCATGGCTGGCTCTTAAAGAATACTTTTAAAATATTTAAAAAAAATTTTTTTAAGATTTATTTATTATGTATACAGTACTCTGGCATGTAGGCAGACAGGCCAGAAGAGGGCACCAAATCTCATTATAGATGGTTGTGAGCCACCATGTGGTTGCTGAGAATTGAACTCAGGACTTCTGGAAGAGCAGCCACTGCTCCTAACCTCTGAACCATCCCTCCAGCCCTACTTTTAAAAATGTTATTTATTTTTATTTTATGTGCATGAGTGTTTTGCCAGCATGCATATATATGTACCATGTACATGCCTGGTACCCTCAGAGGCCAGAAGAGAGCATCAGATCCTCTGGAATCGGAGTTACAGATGGTTGTGAACTGCTGTGTGGGACTATGACTACTTTAAGCTTACCTACGCAGCCTACTTGCCCTTTCTCTCCCTCTCCCCTTCCTTTCCTCTCTCGATTCTTTCTCAGCAGGGCCACCTGTTGCCCTGGTTGACCCTGGCCTGGCTGTGTAGCTAAGGATGACCATGAATTGACCCTCTTGCCCTGCCTCCCAAGCGTTGAGGTGGCATGCATACACTACCTCTCCTTGCTGTCCATACAGTCTTACCAAGATCCTTTCAACTTGTAAAATGAAATGGTTGTCTGAGGATCTGTTTCACTCTTCTGCATCAGTTCTCAAGGCAGGTTAAGCTCCACTGTTCTGAGGTAGCAAAAACAATGGCAGAACAAAGAGCCCCCGTTGTCTTTCTGTTCACCGGTATTGCCTCTCCTTCCAGCTGCAGAAAAGATCAGGATTGTTTGAACTCGTGCCCACCCTCAACTGGAAATGTCACAAACCCCCAGGACCCAGGTGAGGAGGAGTGGCCTGGAGACCATGCTCACCAGCAGGCTGGCTGCCCGACTCCCTAGCCTGCCCTCTGCCCTCCCCAATCTCTGCTGCTGCCTCACACTGAGCACCCTCTACTCTGCAGGTACCGCAGTGCTATTGCCCCTGGTTATCTTCCTGGGCCTTTGCCTTTTATCCTTCATATTCATCAGTTTAATGTGCCGATATCCCCGGTGGAAGCCCAAGGTCTACTCCATCAGTGAGTGTGGGCTGTGGTGGTGGGGGGGAGGTGTTGGTGGAGCTGTGGGAGGGGTCGTGTGGGAAGATGGAGGGAGATGAGCAGTGGTCCCTTTGTTCATGGCTAATGGTCCTGGATGATGGGAGGGAAGCCATCCTGTATCGGTAATTTCTCTTGTCCCTGGGGCCACATAGACCCTGAGGCGTGACACCACAAGTCCCCAGGGCCAGGGTGCTGGTGTTAAAAGGGAAGTGACATTCATGGTGCTTTGTTTCTTTTTCCTCAGTTTGTGGGAATTCAGTACCTGACAAAGAGGTGAGAGGAAAAAACGACTCCAGCTTCCAAACTCCTGATACCCAAATTACTTGGACTGGGATGATGGGCTCCCTTAGTTCTTCTACCTCCACCCCCATAAGGAATCAAGAGCCCGGAGGGGGTCTTTTTCTTCCCCCACTAATATGATGCCTTCTCTCTTTCAGGCGGAGGTGGAAGGAATTGTTACTAAGCCCCTAACTCCAGCCCCTGCCCCAGTCCCAGCCTTCAGCCCCACCCCTGGCTTCAACCCCACGCTGGACTTCTGTTCCACCCCCGGCTTCTGTCCTGTCTCCAATACACCCATCACCCCGGGCCTCCCCTTCGACCCTAGTAACTGGTCCAACTTCAGAGTCCTGCCACCTCTAAGGGAGGCAGAACCAATCCAGGGAGCTGACCCTCTTCTCTACGCATCCCTCGCCTCCGGGCCGGTCCCCACCTCTGTTAAGAAATGGGAAGACTGCGCCCACCCGCAGCGACCTGACAGTGAGTTTGGGTTTCCACCAGCGATGGGGAAATTACTCCTGGAAGGAATCCGGCAGGGTGGAGGCCAAGAGGGCGGGGCTGCCGCTGGAGGTGCACGGTCCTTGTCCCCAGCTGCAGACCCTGCGACGCTGTATGCGGTGGTGGATGGCGTGCCTCCCTCGCGCTGGAAGGAGTTCATGCGGCTCCTGGGGCTGAGCGAGCACGAGATGGAGCGGCTGGAGCTGCAGAACGGGCGCTACGTGCGCGAGGCTCAGTACAGCATGCTGGAAGCCTGGCGGCGGCGTACGCCTCGCCACGAAGCCACGCTGGAGGTCCTGGGCCAGGTGCTTTGCAACATGAACCTAAAGGGCTGCCTGGAGAACATCTACGAGACTCTGGGAAGCACCGCCTCCTTCTCATCTGCGCCCTGCCTCCCTCGATGAGGCCACACCCCCGCCTCAAGGGAGGGACTTAAAGCTAGCCAGAAGCTCTGCTGCCCTGTGCGCCTCCTCTTTGGATGAAAAGGAGCGAAGGGCATTGAAAAGGCAGACTCGAGCTAGCAGCCTCTTCCTTGGTGCTACCCACTTGGTGTACATAGCTTTTCTCAGCTAACGAGGACTGCCCCAGAGCCAGCCACTTGTGCCGGGCAGCAATATGTGTCATTTGTCTGCTCCCAGCAGGCTAAGGGTGCCAAAAGCCGTAACAGGTGATTGTAGAGGAAAGGGACACTATATCTCATGCCCACTTGGGATGCACAGGACCCAAGCAAGGCTTCTCGGGACCTCCCCAGTTAGTTCCTGAGCCTTTTTTACAGCAGGTAAGCAATATTTGAATCAATTATATCACACTAATGGAAACTCAGTCTCTCTTTGCTCCCTACCGGGACAAGCACAGCTGGACTGTCTAAAGTAGGGGCAAAAGCACAGAACAATGGGGCCTCCAGCTGAAGCCACGGACACTTGTAAATACACTAAAAGTCTAAAAATGACCTCTGACCCTGGAAAGAGTGGTTTGTGTATTGGGGAGGCTGGGCAGAGCCCAGGACCTGAGGAGTGTCTTGGAAAATCCGGCCATTCTGACAGTTTACAGAGTAGACTATCCCTCACGACCCCGTGGGTGCCCATGCTTCCCTCCCACCCTCATCCAGTGTTGATCAATAGCCATGTTTCCAGGCAGCTTTCTGTGGAGTTCAGAGATGTGTCTGTGAGACACAAATGTCCAGTTCTTGACTCCAGGGTCCCCAGAGCAGGAGGCGGGCGCCTGGGTCAGGCTTGGTTTGAAGTAGGTCCTTGAGGTAGAGTCCAGGGGGAGGGTGGTGACCAGCACTCTTGGGGAGACAATTCCTCTAGGAGATGTGTCAAAGGGCCTCAGCGTTCCTCATACTTCTCTGTAAAGGAAGGAGACAAACACACTAGGTCAATTCAAGGTCAAACAACTGCCTTCCTTAGAACAGCCCCTCACTCCGCACTGCCCTTTTATCCCATGGTCTTCTGCACTTACGAAGTGGACAGGGGGGTGTCCAGCTGTATGATGTGGGTTCCCCTCATTCTCTGCAGCTGGGCTCGAGTCAACTTCCGGGGTTTGCCATCCCCAGGTTCTGAAGCTCCCTCGATCCTTTGGCTGGCCAGCTCCTCCCTTATTGCCCTGAGCATGTCCTCAGCCTTCAGGGGGCGGGGGTAGGGTCCAGGAGATAAAGGCCCCTCTTCATCTGAGGATTCCCAGGGGCTTTCTCCAGCAGAGTCTGTATGGGTAGGAGACGGGGGGAGCGGACTCCGCCGTTGTGCCCTGTTCAGGGTTTCTGCCACCACATTCCCTGTGGTCAAAGTCTCATCTTCCTCCTCGGACCAGGTTGGGGGCACTCTCCTGGGTAGACTGCCTCCTCTTAGGATCCCTTCTGGTAATTCTGGGGCGCTTCGTCGCTGGCGAGCTTGGGGGTCAGGAGGCCGAGGGCGCAAAGGAACATCTCGGAGTTCCAGGGTGGAGAAGGTGAGGCGAGGGTCCCTACGAAGAGCCTTGGCCCGAAGCCTGTTGAGCGGGGAGCGAGGGGTCTTGGGGGAACTTGGAATCAAGGTGCCATAGCCAGAGTCCGAGGTGTCATCAGGCATGGAGGGAGCATCTTCATCCGTATCTTCAGTCACCACTAGGTGGGGGATGATGCTGAACTCCAAAGTCCTACGGTTAACAGCAGAAAGTGGGACTGAGATCATGAGGGTCGGATTTAAGCCAGGAAGGCTCCCCCATCACCCCACTCAGGAATGTCTTCCCCTCCCAACTTACTGTCTCATCACCTCACTGGCTAGAACTGTGCTCTATAAAAGACTCGGACACTCACCTCTTTTATACAGCACACACACTAACACTGGGACGACAGAGAAGATTATGGCCCCTGTGAAAGCTCATGCAATTTATGAAGGGTTCCATTTTTCAAAGAGAAAAAGACAAGACCTTGAGCTAAGCTGGGTATGGTTGCTCAGGAGGAATGTCATGAGTTTGAGGTCAGTCTGAGCTGCATGCTTGTAAAACAAACAAACAAAGAGCTTGGGCTCCCCTTGAGCTATTCTATCCACAGCACCTGGTTCAGGCCACACATCGAGCAGCTTGTCCCATATTTGCTGAGTGGGTCCAGTGGTGGGTTCGTTTTCTCTGAAAGTTGCTAGGCAGCTGTATTATCCTGGATGGACCTCTTACACTATGGGGATTTGAACTTGCTGCATCCTGGAAGCACTGATATTCTGAGAATCCATATCTACCTTCATTCTGGGGCCTGTCCCTCACAGCGAGCTCACATGACATGTTTCTGCCTCCTTTGACCTGTGCCCACCCTGATCTACACATCCCTTTAGACGGTGGCTACCAACCTGTTCCACCCCCACATGCTGCTCGCGCCCCTGTACCCACACGGGGTTCCCCAAGGCTGTACTCCTCCCCACTGTGGCCTCCTCCTTTGAGGGTGCACTCGGGTCTTACCTCCCCTCTGCACTGCTCTGAGAGTCCTCTGGGGAAGGAGTAGAGGGCCTGGTGCTGGGGGACTCCCTGCCCTGGTTGCGATAGAGGGCCAGGAGCTCCCTCTTCTGTTGAACATACTCCTCGGCCTTCAGCTTCTGCAGAGTGGCCTGGGGAGGGACTTTCGTTATTATGAGCTCTCGCAGACGGAGCACTTGTACCGCTGGCTTTACCTATGGTATCTTTACATCTCCTAACAACCTTCTGAGGGTGTTTACACTTCTGTTCCTACTGAGAAAGGGGAACTAGAAGGCTAGCGACCACCTCAGGAGTCACCTTTACAGAAAGGGAGCACCACAGTGGCGCCAAGATGTGGTGGCCCAAGCTGTGGAGCTGGTGCTGGAGATGACAGATGGACAGGAAGTCTCCATCTTCTTCTATCACGTGCCTGCTTTTCACGCCTCCAGGGATGCTCGGATGCTCCTCCTTCAGGAGCTCTCCTTGGGGATGAAGTGCTCCAAGAACCCTGAACCATATCAGTGCTCAGGTTGCTCTGTTGGGCACATTCCTCTCCTAGCACCTTGGCATCCCGAAGGTGGGAGGACCAGCGGTATGCATGTCTTAGGCTGCGGACCCTTTTGTCCCTTAGACGGGTGTGAAAGCAAAGCTCTCCCAACACGGAAGAAGGCACATGTCTGTGCTCCTTCTTCGGAGGTTTCATACAGAATAAAGCAGTGGCAGCTGAGAGATGGCTTGCAAAGTACCTTCACATGCATAGGATGCTTTGTCGCATGCCATCACCCCACAGTGTGGAATGCATGGCCGTGAGCGCATTTTACAGCTGCAAAGACTAGACTCAGATGCATCTACTGGCCAAGGAGGCAAGTGGAGAGGAGAGCTGGGTGAGTAGGCTCTTTAAGTCCTAGCTCAGTGACTGCAAGCTTTGTAAAGGCAGCCTTGAGGGGCCCTGAGTTACCACAGGAGGATAGTGTTGGGGGAGATAAAGCCAGAGGACACACAGGGTGGGTGTTAGGAAAAGGCTTGGCGTGAGGGTAGAGGTGGCTGCTATGGGCAGAATGGGCATCAGTATTCATAGGTGTGGCTAAGAAAATACTCAAGGCTTCCTAGATGGTAAAGAAAGGCCATAGGCTGGACATGATCCTGGCATTTGGATCATGGTGGACCCACCTGAGGCAGGTGGATCTGTGAGTTCGAGGCCAGCCTAGGCTACATAAAGAGTTCTGGGCCAGTCAGAACTATACAGTGAGACCCCATCTCAGAAAGCAAGCAGGAAGGAAGGAAAAAAGGAGAGGATACAAGGAAGGAAGGCAGGAGGAAGGAAAGACTGTAGCTGGAGTTGTCCATCTTCTCCCTTCCCAGGCATCCCCACCACAGCAGCTGCTAAGGGGCTGCACCTGGCATAGAGTAGGAGCCCCATACAATGCTCTGTTCTGACTGATGCTAGGCTAACCTGATGGTTCTATTTTTGTGCTTTCTCACTAGCTAGGGGAATGTGACCCAGCAGCCCTGGGGTTCCTAGGCTTCTCCAAAGCTTCTGTAGGAACAGGGGTGGCCAGGTCAGGATGAGACATGTTGGAAGAGGGCTGGGCAGGCATAGGAAAATGATAGCAAGTGGACCATTCTAATTCTCCTTCCCTGGCTTCCCAGTTACTGAACCAGAACAGAGGATGAGACCTGGGGGCAGGAAGCTAGCGCACAGGGTCAGTTCCTGTGTCACTCTTCCCCAGGCTTCATCTTTCAGCTCAGTGGCAAGTGGGGAAAGGTACAGGAAAGTCAAAGGGGCCTGCACAGCTTGCTTGCTATGGGGAGATGCCCTTTGCCCCACAGGCTCCAAGTTCAAGTTTGTGATGGGATGCCAAGGGCAGGGCTGCAGAGTGTAAGGAAAGGATGAGAAGAAAAGAGGGGGAAGGGCAGGGATGGGGGTCCTAGGCAGCAGAACGCAGGGCTTCCGGCTGCCTCAAAGCCTCAGCAGCAGAGGCTTTGGCTACAGGTGAGGAGAGAAAGAGCTAGCGTATGATGCCCTCCAAAGCAGAAGAAAGGGAGCTCTCAAGCAAGGTTCTGGTGGAGCATCCCCAAGACAGAATGCCTCCTCTCCGCAGTTCCTCGGGCACACCACATTCCCCCACTCTCCCAGAACTGGATGGAAGGGATCTTTAAATGGTGCCCCTTGCCTCTCTCAGCCAGCACCAGTGCCTGCTTCCGGCTCCACACCTCCTGCCATCCCTTCCTCCCCTCTCTCTGCCTCACTCCCTTCTCCTTCTTTCTCTTCTTTGTTTTGTGACACTGGGTCTTTCTGGGCAGCTCAGATCCAGAACTTGCTGTTATAGCCCAGGCTAGTCCTGAACTCACGATCCTCCCGTCTCGGCTTTCTGGGTGCTGGGACCACGGGAGTGCTCAGCTGTCTCACCCTTTCTCATAAGCAGAGCAATGGCACTCATGTGTGGAGCAGCAAAGTGCAGGGCCTCGCTCTGGCTTGCTGGCCATCACTGTCCCCTCCCAGACGAAGGTCAGGCTGAAGAAGAGGAGTAAGTTGCCAAGAACCCAGGGTGGGCTCCGGACTTTGCTTCTTAGTCTTCGGTCGGCCCCCCTTTCCTTTCTTGGTCTCTAGCTCTGAGGGTTCTTCTTGTTCCCCTACTCAGTTCCTTTTCCTCTCCCCAGCCACTAAGTCTCCCCACCCCCACCCACAAGCTCGTTTTCTGTTCCGGCAGCCACCTCTGTAAAACCTCAAGGAAGACACCTCACTAACATTTCTGCAAGGAAAGAGGTAAAAAATCTGTGCCCTGGGCAGTGGAGGGTGTGAGTGTCCAGGCGTGTGTACTGGCCTGCCCTTGGGGTTCTGACAGGATAGCCCTCCCTCAGCTGCCGCCACTAAGAGCATCACCTGCACATACTC